TTTGATGCCATAAAGCATTTTATTAAGCACTGTGTGATATCTTTGTAAAATTGGTGAATTTGTAACCAGTCAAATGATCATTGCTGGCTCCAGAAGAGGTCTCTAGTAGCAGCTCATAAGGACTCTATCCTTGTTCTTGAACTAGTTTACCTTGGTTCAAAGGCTTAGATAATAATGTTGCATTGTTGGTTTACCAACAACAAGAAACTGGAGGGAGAGTGAATTTTTGATGACAAATTGAAACAACTGGTGAAATTTCATTAGGTATAATTTAATAAACGACAAACGTTGCATTAGGTAGAAAAACAACTTCATCCATTCAAGATAGATTTGACAAGGCTTAACAGCAGCACATGTGAAAAAGAAATAGGTTTTAGTTAACTGTAAGTACATTGCAGTTAAGAGTGGACCATAAAAAAACAAAAACCATTGCCATTGAGTCAATTTCAACTCATAGTGACCCTGTAGGATAGAGTAGAACCGTCCTAGAGGGTTTTCAAGGCTGTAATCTTTATGGAAGCAGATGACCACATCTTTCTCCCATGGAGCAGTTGGTGGATGTGAACAGCAGACCTTTTGGTTAGCAGCTGAGCTGCTTAACCACTGTGACACCAGGACTCTTTCAGTGGACCAAACCCATTGCTGTCAAGTCGATTCCAACTCATAGCAACCCTATAGGACAGAGTAGAACTGCCCCATAGGGTTTCTAAGGCATGGCTGGTGGATTCCAACTGCTGACCTTTTCGTTAACAGCCAAGCTCTTAACCACCGTGCCACCAGGGCTCTGAGTGGACCATAACCCGTTGCTGTCAAGTCAATTCCAACTCATAGCAACCATATATAGGACAGAGTAGAACTGCCCCATAGAGTTTCCAGGGAGCAGCTGGTGGATTCGAACTGCCGACCTTTTGGTTAGTAGCCATAGAAGCTCTTAACCACTGCATCACCAGGGCTCCATTGCTGCCCCCAAATCCAACTGCAATCTTAAACTGCATTAATAGAAATCATATACCTAGATTGATGAAGCTGATAGTTATCCCTCTCTAGGTACTTTTTAGATCTCTGTTGGGGTATTGTGTTTTATTCTGATAATTTTATTTTAAGACAAACCAGTTGTGGTCTGGAAGAAATTAGCCAGCATGATGTAGGGATTTGAAATCATGACTTATGCAGAGAACACTGTATGGTGGAAAGAACATAATATCTTTAAATATTTGTTGTGTTGTGATACAGAAAAAAAAACTCAAAACAACACTATCCTTGCTCTACTGTGGGAGGATTTTGCTGATCCCAAACAAATCGGAGGAATTGCAAGGAAGTAGACTTAATCTCCCAGGTAAAACTTTTTAACAATTGGAGCCATCTATTTATGGTCTCCTTTCAGTGATACTGTTATCTTCCCTATCACTAAAATTCTTTAGCCAGAGGCCTCAGGCTAAGATTTTTGGAATGTTGTAAAGGAAATGTGAAATTAGGGAGGTATGTTGGGTGATCACTAGGGAAAAATTCTTTCCAGTTTTGAAATTCTATGATTCCTTGCTTGATGTAGGTGGATAAATTATATAAGCAGTGAAGGGACATGAATCTAGGAAAAGATTGTTCTTGAAAGGACGTATTGGGGATAACATTGTCCGGGAGATGAATTTTGAACCAGTTTTGTAGAAAATGGCAGGGTAAAATTGGTGGATCACAAAAATGACTTATTTAATATACAGGCAGTCCCCAGGTTATGAACATCTGACTTACAGACAACTCATACTTAAGAACTGACTGCCATGTTGTTGTTAGGTGCTGTTGAGTCAGTTCTGACTCATAGCAACCCTATGTAGAACAGAATGAAACACTGCCCAGTCCTGTGCCATTGCTATGTTTGAACCCATTGTTGCAGCCACTGTGCCAATCTGTCTTGTCAAGCATCTTCCTCTTTTTTGCTCCTCCTGTACCTTACCAAGCATGATGTTCTTCTTCAGGGACTGGCCCCTCCTGATAACATGTCCACAATACGTAAAACAAAGTCTCACTATCCTTGCTTCCAAGGAGCACTCTGGCTGTATTTCTTCCAAGACAGGCTTGTTTGTTCTTCTGGCAGTATATTCAATATTCTTCGCCAACCATAATTCAGAGGCATCAATTCTTCTTCAGTCTTATTTATTCATTGTCCAGCTTTCACATGCATACCAGGCAGTTGAAAATATCATGGCTTGGGTCAGTCACACTTTAGTCATCAAAGTGATATCTTTGCTTTTCAACACTTTAAAAAGAGATCTTTTGCAGCAGTTTTGTCCAGTGCAATATATCGTTTAATTTCTTGACTGCTCCTTCCATGGACAAGACTGCCATAAAGCCTATTATATTAAAATTTTGAGTTAAATACAGTGGTTTGTAATAATGAACACACATAGTACTTTGTGATGCTCATGAAAACATTGTGCGGTTTGGAAGTGTTTCTTTAGTATTTAATATGCATGAAAAGATGAAATATATACTATATACTAAGACAAACATTTTACTAACTGATGCTAAATACAAACTGTATGTACCTGTTCCAATTTACCTACAAATTTGACTTAAAGCCAGACTTAGGAAAGGATCTTGTTTGTAACCCGAGCACTGCCTGTATAGCAAATGATACATTTCCTTTAGTCAAGAGAGGAATCTTCCAGATTTCCTTGGTAACTTTATAGGTAGGTTATTTTACACACACACCCATTATCTTTTTTTTTTTTTGATTGGGAGAATTGTTTAGGATTGCCAAGGTTTTTTCTTGCTATGTAAGAACATTAAGGAAGAAGGTTTTCTCATCTGTTTCCTAAGAGAAAGGAAAATAGGAAGGGAAAAATAGCAGGGAAAGAAAAGATTTGTCTTCCCAAGAAAATGGAGTAAACCTTTTATGGTTCTTGGGACAGAATGTGCCCACAGACATTTTCAGGCTCTCAGGTTTCTTGGGAGGCTACTTTTCCCACTAAAAGTATCTGCAGCCCTCCAGCAGGGGCTTGTGTAACAGTGAAAAATGAAAGAATCTTTGGTGAAAATTCACAATGGTAGAAGGCTTAGATTTGAGGCAGTGCATCCACAAAGTGTGATTTGGTGAAACTTTTGTCTCTTCTGGCTTTTGTACAGCTGGATAATCCTTGTACGCATATTTATGGCTTCCTGTGTGATAGTTCGGGAGCCCTGGTGGGGTTTGTGTGTGTATGCCCGTTTATCATGTTTTGAAAACAAATGTAATAAAATGGAAGGTGCCACCCTCCAAAGATCCTTGGGACAAATGGAGGCCACTAATATGGCACCAGACTACTGCCAACGTTTTGTGGGAAAATGTATGCCCACATGATATTTCTCAAAATCCGTACCCAACCAAAAATTTGAACACATTCAATTATTAAGCATGCCTGCCATTACTGAAAACATATAGTATCAAAAAAAAATTTTTAAGGGAAGGTAATAGGGTCTTGAAAGGGGTAAGAAGACATCACTAACGTGAGAAAATACGTATGTGGGCATTGCGTGCAATTGCATGTGACGTTGTTTAATTTTTCTCATTTCACTCAGCACTAGCATTGTTCTACAGACCAAAATTTGGGAACTACTAAGTCAGTAAGGGAGTCGCTGAGTGGTGCAAACTGTAACGCACTCGGCTGCTAACTGAAAGATTGGCAGTTCTAGTCCACCCAGAAAAGCTCCTTGGAAGAAGGACAGATGATCTAGTTCTGAAAAATCAGCCACTGAAAACCCTATGGAGCACCGTTCTACTCTGACAGAGTAGACGTCAGCTGATTTTTTTTTTGGGGGGGTTTTAAGTTAGTAGGGTCCTTTGATGGGCAGTCTGAATAATTGGAGACTTGTATTAGTCAGCTTTTGATAGGTTATGTTGTATAACAGGCAACTTCAGAGTCTCCTTGGCTTACCCCAGCCAACATTTACTTAGCACTTACAGTACACAAAGGCTGCAGGTTAGCTGCTGTTGCTCTTCTCCAGGTGGAAGTTTGGCTTCAGGACTCATCTGGGACATGTGCTTCTCATGTCATAGGAGCAAGAGAGGCTAAGAAAAGCTGTGCAGTTGTTTTTAAAGCTTTTACTCGTATATCATATTCACTGAAGTTCCATTGGCCAATGTGAGTCACATGGACAAGCTCACATCAATGGAATTGAAAAGTATTCTTCTCCCATATGGGGGAAGAAAGAGAGATAGTTGTATGGAGTCATTTTGGAGGTTCTTAGATAGAAGAGTGACATGATAAAAACTAAGAAAGGTCGTGTTAGCAGCGATAATATCAACTGACATGGGACACTGAAAGCAGGAAGAGTTAACTATTCAGGATAGCTTCTTCCCATGATTCTGTAACTTCCACCCAGCTGTCAGAATCCCAGTGACAGAATTTCATACTAGCTAATCCCATGACGTCAGCCCATTGTATGTTACTTCACAGTACTTGCTCAAGTCCTAGATGTCTTCATTTTATCTCCTTAATTGCTTTTTTTATCACCAAACCACAAGATTGGCCCTGTAGATTTGCTGTCAAAATTATGGAAGAATACTCAGTAATAAAAAGAAATAAAATACTAATACGTGCAGCAACATGGATGAATCCCAGAATCATTATGCTAAGTGAAAGCAGTCTTTGAAACACAGACGTACTTCCTATATGAACCCTTTTAATTAAAATTCTAAAAAAGGCAAAACTCTGGTGACAGGAAGCAAATCAATAGTTACCTGGGGCTGGAGGTCAGGGAAAGGGATTGACTACAAATTGACATGAGGAAGCTTTTTAGGGTGATGGAAGTTACCTATATCTTGACTGTGGTAGAGTGCACACCTAAAATAGGTGAATTTCCACATATATAAATTATACTTCAAGCTGAGAAAAAAAATCAGAAAAATTGTGGTCAGAAAAGTGAGGGTCGGTTTTTGGTTTTTTTTGAAGATCAAAGAAAAGGGAGAGAGAAAATAGTTGATAATTCTTTCCATAATCTTTGAACTTTACGTGTGTCTGTTTTAGGAAGAACTTGAAACAGCTAGGAAGTTTCTATATTATGAAATGGGCTATAAATCTCGATCAGAACAACTAACAGATCGCTCTGAAATTAGCCTACTGCCTTCAGACGTTGACAGGTATTTTTAATACATTTCCACGTCTCTCTCTCTTTTTTCCTTCTCCTGTGTAAGTATATTTTCCTGTTAATCAATGTTGTGTTCCAGGTACACGAAGAGATTTCATAAGTTTGATGCAGATCAAAAAGGCTTTATTACCATCGTTGATGTTCAGCGTGTATTAGAGGTAATATTTTTTTGGTTCGGCATCAGTTTTAAATAGCAGAGTAGTGTAATGATGATAGTATATAATTTTTTTCTTATCTAATACTTTCTATATGTAATATATATTTTTAAAATTTTAGTAAGATTAATAAAAGGACATGCTTAATGTTTAATTAGACCTCATGATTCTTCTTTGCTTTTCGTTTAGAGTATCAACGTCCAAATGGATGAAAATACATTACATGAAATTCTGAATGAAGTAGATTTGAATAAAAATGGACAGGTTGAACTTAATGAATTCTTGCAGGTGAGTTGTGATGGAAAGAAACAAACATGTTTCCTTTTGTCTTTTGGTTGTCATAATAAATGGATGTTCAAGTGTGGGTTTTTAAGTCCACACAGTTGTCAGTTCATTCTGAAAAAAGGAGAAAGCTTGAAGCCAGCAAAGGCTGATATGTCTGTACTCTAAGATAAGGCTCTACTTCGTGCATTTTCTTTTTCTTTGTTTTTATAAGGAACATTCTGTTGTGTTGGGCAATTTAGATTAAACCCAAGTTAATTATGGCTGAAAAGGCTGAGTAAGAAGCATGCTTTTTAAAGAAGTATGCCTTGGAATATCACTGTTGGGCCATTCTCTACCCAACTTCAAAAGAAGCAACACAATATTCCCAGTGTGGAAGGTAATTTTTTTATGGAGGAACTTGAAGAAAATCATATTTGTATTAATTTGAAAATCATATTTATTTGAGAATTTGATTACTAGATTCTTACACTGTAAAGAACCTGAAAAGCAAAAGGAAGTACACTGTATTCTGGAGTTAGACCATGTAATTCAAACATCTTCATTTCCAATTTTCAACTTATTCAAGGATCAGTTGTTTAATCTTTGTACCATTGAAGGAAATGTTATGTTACTTTAATTTCAAATTGGATGCTACACATTATTCCTTGAAAGTTCCTTAAAAGAAATAAAACAAACGCATACAAACATTATTTGTTTCTGTCCATATGACTGATCGTATGAAGAATGTATTGGTTATCAAGTAGCCAGGTTCCTGGGTGAGTATTTCAAATGAATGCCAGGTCTTGCTTGCACCATGGCAGTGATGAATGCTGAACAGGAAATAAATGAATGCTGGGATTTTGGTCAATGTCAGCCCTTTCTTCACTGTGTCAAGGTAAACAAACAAGATCAAGGCAAAGGAAATGGTAATTGTCTCTCTGGAGATGAGCTGCAGATAAGAGCATTGTTGAATCTAAATGCAGAAAATTTTCACAGGTTGTGTCGAGCATTACAAAAAAGAATGTTTGGTTCTTTAGCTCACTGTTTAACTAAATGCACATTTTAAATTGAGTTTAAAATTTATGCTTGGGAATTAGAAATCATTTAATACATTTTTGTGTGTAGCTTTCTGGAGAATGTTTTATTGTTTTTGGAATTTAGAAAACTTTTCTTCAGAGAAATGGCTATGCTTCATTTCAAGGGTATTGTAAATAAATAGCTGTATTTAGGGTTGAAAGACCTGGGGTTTTAGAAACAATAAGAATCTAATTTAATGTATATACTACGTGACTTGGGTTTTTAGTAATTTTTTTGAGTGCAGTGGAGTTAAACACATAGAAGTTAAACTGTTTACAGATGTTCTTGTAGAAGTTTTTAATAATTGACTATTATGCAATTCAGAGTGAGAGGGACTGTTGACGCTTCTACGAAAATACACAGAGTGCAATTTTCAACTTAAAAAATGCTGATCATGTTTCTTATAAAATATGTTTACACCCAAATACTATTTTTTTTCTTGTAATATGGTTTCTGGATACTTTTAATGTTAAAGAAACTGAGTTTTTAGAGATTGGTACGTCATATATTGTTTATACTTAACGAAAAAAGCTCGAGTTCTATCAGTTTTGTTAGTTCTGATAAACTTTGAAGGTCTTCGTGGAATCTGAGGCCAAACAATAAATAAATTGTTCTGTCTTTAGATGTCAGCATCCCTTATTGTTACACCATCCTTCATGAGATGTAAAGTATGTTTTCAGTGGGGTTTTTCTTTGGGGGGGATAATAAAATATTTTCCTTTTCTTAAGACTAAGAGCTTATGTCTGTCCGTTAAACATCTTTTTGAATACAGATTTGGCCTTTCAGTAATCCTCATGGAAGGATCACTATATATATTCCATGGTTACATTACTGCATTTTAGGCTTGGGCTTTAATGACACTTTTCCAGAGAGAGGTCCATCTCTAACAAGCAATAGCTTGTGAAACAGCTTTTAATAAGGTCATGAGATTCTGATTCGGCCCTTTAGCAGATGCCTCTAACTCTCATTCAGAGCATTTTTAAATGTGTCTCGTTGGACTGAAAACTGTAACCCCAAACATATTTTGAAAATTTTATATACACTTTTCTGGTGAAGAGCTAAATCAGTTCTTTTCAAGATAAACAAATATTAAAAAAAGATTGGGGGAAGTGAGATATTAAGGAAAGCAGATAGTTAAAACCACATCAACTTGAAAAGGAAAAAAAAAATACCCCATGCTCATAATTCCAAAGTTGCCTACCAGATTAAAGGCCTTTGCCCACTGACTGCATGTAATTTCAAAACTAATTCTGATTTTATCCATTGGATAAAAATGAATTAGCTAAAATCTGGGCTGTGGAGTACTTTTAATTCTTAAGGTAGATCTCTGGGTCCGTTTTCAAGGACTTAAATGTAAATTACTTTAAAAAGTCTTTAAGGAATTTGGATTTAGGAGACTTGAAGTTGTCAAGTACAGTAATACTAAAAATGGATAGTTAAAGATAGGTCATGGTTTGTCTTTGTTCAATCCCAGAGATTCCTTTTTTTAAGATTTTTAAATGGAATTAAAGATTCAATATTTGAGTTGCTCAAAAAAAAAAGTGTGCCCTTGAGCACATTAAAGGGCAAAAAGTGATACACTAGATTTGCTTTTAAAATGCAGCCTGATTTGCTAGATAGGTGTCTTTTTTTTTTTTGGCAGCAGCAGCGGTGAAATATCTGCCCCCCCCCCCTTTTTTTTAACAAATATTGTTATTTGAGCTGTAGCACCTGCTATGGTTTTTGATGGAGCACTTAATTACCTCTTCCTGCTGCAATGGTAACCATTAAAATGCCACAAAGACGGGAATAAGCCGCCCTGCCTTCTGAATCTGTTGCATATTTTCTCTTTAAGCTGATGAGTGCCATTCAAAAAGGAAGAGTGTCTGGAAGCCGGCTTGCTATACTAATGAAAACTGCAGAAGAGAACCTTGACAGAAGAGTTGTGATTCCAGTGGACCGTAGTTGTGGAGGATTGTGAGTCTGAGCAGTAAATCCACAGCCAACAAATGTAGGAACAACAGATCACCATGTAACAACCAGAGATGGCTTATACCACTCCAAGATAGTGGATATGGATAGCTGCCTTTTTTAACACTGAGGAACATTCCAAAGCTTTAGGACACTGGTGTGTGCCCTTTATTTGTATTTGTCATTCACTCTAGCTTCCAAAATTTGTATTTTATCTTTTTTCTCATTTTCAGTGTGCACTGATTTCATGTTTTACATCCATCTTGTGACCTGTTAGACTGGTCATACTCCTTTGTTTGTTTATTCACATACTCTAAATCAGTTCTAGAGGCAGAATATTTTGGCAGAAATTGGGAGAAGAAGCTGGAAAGATTTCATGCACAAAGCTCTGGATGTGTTAAGCTTGTAGGTAGAATTTGTTCTTAAAAGAAGTGGAGTGGGAAGTGACCCCTATTGAAATGATAGTGTTTCTGGAGATTTCTCCACCCGTTCTTCCTCTAGCTTGTCTGCCTTCCTCATCGAAATAATATTTCACAATATTATATCTAGAGTATGACTGGCAAAACTGGAGAGGGAAGAAAAGTTTAGATCTGGTTACAGGAGCTCATCACACAGAGAAGCTCTGAAAGCTTCCAGAATCACAGGTATAAGATAAGGATAGCACTGACATTTGCTGGGAGTTACAGTGATAGTTTCATCTCAGCAGTTCTATTTTTTTTTTTTTTTCTTCCCCAGTCACTGTTGGTTTTCTCTGACTCTTATTTTTGCCAGGAACATCCTTGTTTTTCTAATTTAAAACCAGCATTTAACTGGCAGGTTGGATGTAATGACATGAGACCAGATTTCTCAAATCTTTACAGTAGTAGTAAATTTAAGGGTTAGAAAAAGTGCTTATATATCCACCTATATGATAACACAATTTTCAATGCGCAAATCCTAGTTTTTGGAGCATGTGGTATTGTCAAATATAGCCTATTTTGGTTAGTTGATTGCATCATTTTTTAGGTGTTTGCAAACAAATGTAAAAGAAGACAGAAATAGATTTTAGTTAATTTTATTTGTAATTATGTACAAAAAGGCACAACACTGCATTATTCAAGTTTATTTTGGTTGCTTAAAGTTTTTTTTGCCTTTTGCCCTCAATGGAAAAACTTCTCAATCAACCAAAACTAAACATAAAAACACAGCACACACGCGTGCACACACACACAGCAGTCTGCATTGAATTTAACAAGTAATGAATTGAATTTAAAGACACATTTGGAATGCTTTTGCTATATTTTGGTGGCATTTTAACTAGGGTCATCCAAATATTCATTGTGCTTCCTCTTGTGAAGTTAACTACCTACCACTTTAGTTTACTTAAGATCAGGTTCTGTATATCATAAGAAATGTAACACTTTATTTCATGGCAGATTTTCATTGTGCAGACTTGAGGTCTTAGTTTTTAAACAGGTACATAAAACACTTTCGTGCTGTCATTTCTATTTGTGTCAGCATTGTAGAATATCTGTATGCCTCACCCAAGTGGATCACGAGCCTGTAAGTCACAATATAAACACTGGAGGTTCACTTACTTAAGCCCTTACCCTCATCCCCAGCTGAAACAAACAGAAACCGCAGGGAAAGACAGCGTCTTAACTCATTTTACTTTTAAGTGGAGTTTAGATACTTGCCACTTCTTAAAGAAACACCAGAAACAGCGAGTGATGCTCCCAGGTATCACTGTGAACTGTTTATTTCAAGGTGTGAATGTTTTACACTGGTCTTCGTTTGCGCACGCTTTGCTGTGAGTAAAGTTCCTTTAAGGGCAAAGAAAAGCACATTTTTCTTCTTTTGAGCATATCTGCATTTGCCTAAAATCTGCTTAATTCTAAAGCATACACTCCTTCACCAATCCCAGAGACCTGTCTTGGAAGTGAACTGGTTCCAAGCCTTTACTGTGAATAAAGCATCCCGGCATTTTAGTGTAAGTTCTTAATTAAGCCTTTACAGCATCTTTACCTGATTTAAGAAGAGAGAAAAAGAAATAGGGGAGTAAGCCCATTCAAAACTCATCCCAAGCATAAAGTAATGATTTTTTTTCCCTTTTCATATAAATGTGATATTAGATGACTTGGAGTGGGGGTGGGGTGCACAGGGATTGTCTTTTGTCATCAAGTGATTTATTTCAAGAGCCTTTAAGGGGATTCAGGTGAAGGAACCCCCATTTGTGGTGGAGAGTTGGAAATACTCCTTGAAATAGCCCCCTTCACAGTCATAATAATAGTGATAATGCTGGATTATTTCCCAAGCCAAGACTGTCTGCCTCATATCCGTCATGCTGTTTGCAATATTCTTATTCTCAATCAATTTATACTGAGTGTAACTTTAAGATTTCTACTGTCAAATGCATGCTCCTTATTCTTCTTTAGTTTCTGGCTTTGTTTTGTCTGTTTCACAATATGTAGCTTCCTCTTTTGTACAACAACAAAAATTTCCTTCTGACTTTTACTAAGTATAAGTAAGGGTGATCATTGATTTTATTTCCCTCTTTTTTATGTACTTGTAAAGATTTTTGGCATACGAATGTGATAATGTTGAAGTTGATGAAGTTATTATAACTTGCACTGTTTTGCATTCTATCAATCCTTTTTAGGGAGTGAAAAAAGCCCTACTGTGTTTTTAATGAGCATCAAATATAAGCCCAGTACTGGAGTGGATACACTGCATGTTTTCACATGTGGCACTTTTATGTTTTGTGTTGGGTCATTGTTCTAGATTGGACTGTTAAATGCTATGTTTGAGGCTGGGTTGTCATTTTTATAACTGTCTCAGTGTTTTATTGCCATTATTTATTACTTTTGATATACAGAATGAGCTGCATGCATTTATAGAGCAATAAGAGGATGTATTTAATGTGCCTTGTTTTTACCGAATAAGAACTGAAAGCATGAATCAATAAAACTGATTAAAATGGTCCATTTGCTGGCATTTTGATGTTACATGCAGTCAGAGAAATAACTGATTAGTGTTGAAGTTTAAAAAAAAAAGTTTGAAAATATTTTGACAAACTGTAAGCTTAATGACACACATTAATTCTCTTAGCTTGGAATTTTGTAATTTTAATCTCAAAAGGGGATTCTCTGCATAGACAGATGTAATTTTATGAGACTGCCACAATTATTTGTATTAATTTGTTGCTGGAGCCTTTAGGGCATGACTTCTGTATTTGTGCAATCCTATTCTAAAATTACATTTGTCTGGTACAACTCTGTTGGATCCTTTTTCTTCTTCTTTCTTTCCTTTTTTTTTTTTTTTTGGTCAACCAGAGCCTTTCAGCCTAAGCATTACCAGGCACACTGATGAATTTTATCATAACTAAAATCAATAGGAATGAATGGGAAAGATTACATAATCCATTTTGATCATCTTACATGTCAAGTTAGTGCAGAGTTGCCAAGTGTTGATAAATGCTCTAACAGAAAAAATGCTATATATTTTCATTGTCAGTAAATCAGTAAAGCTGTTATCAGTCTTAACACAAATTTTATAATGCCCATGTTATTTTATAGGTTTTAATTTACACACATACAGGGAGCATGTTCTCCATTTGTGGTTAAGATGTGCTGCCTCCTGGTTGTGTATGCTCAAAGACATACGTGAGCTTCTGAAGGTGCTTTGAAATTGTATAGAATCCCCAAAGCGATGGCTCCCAGACAGACTTGTAGCAATGAACTGTTTGTTCCAGGCCTGGAAAAAATATATATAGTAGCTCCAAACATTTCCATTGATGTAGCTTATCAAATTTTATAGGACTTTAAAATTTGTCAACATAAAATTTGTCAAAATACATTGCTCCCAGTTTTCAAAATGTAGAAAATTTATGGTAATCAAAGAAAGGGAAATATGATAGAAACATTGATATGTTGCAGTCTGTGTCAACACTGCATT